GAAATTACAGTAACCGCAAATTAGAGAAAACCAAAAATTAACTGTCAGTTCATCTTCTTCAATGAATTTATATGAAGCCGATAAATAAACTTGATAACGACTAGTGAAGAATCAACAAACGACTGAATCATCATTCATATAAAAGTTCTGAATTTTTCAAAACAAATTGAATAACTTAAACAAAATAGTTTTGAAAATTATAGCAATAAATTTATGCTGAGAAATCAGAATCTTTGCATATGAAAACTCTCAAACGAAGATCGCTAGTGACCGAAAAACTCAACTAGTCAATAACATGATTATAGAAAATCATTTCTCGCTAATTCAACATGACAACCGGGCTCTGATACCACTTGTTAGGAATTTAACGGAGACACAAAAATCAATTCGATCGTCTCCGAACGACATGCCAAATCATCGAGAAGAATTTTCGGAAGCGTACCTGTATCCATTGAAAAGCAGAATCAAGGTCTTTCGATCTTCCACGTTTAGAGCGGCGTTCTCCAAGAGAGCGAGAGACCCCTTCTTTTCACTCTAGATGGGAAATGAGGGAAAATGAGAACTTAACCGCTTAAACTGGGGACCATGACCCTTATATACTTTAAGTATAAATATTTTATTTCAGCCCATCATAAAAATAAAATAAATACCCGGCCTCTACACAAATTAATTCCATACAAAATTAATTGAGATGCCACATAAGCCAAATAATAATTTAATACTCAAATAGATCACAAATTTAATTGGCTTAATTTTAGATAGCGTCTAATGTATAATTCTTTATTTATATGTATAAAATATATTGGCCCATATATAGAAATTTTCCAACAGGTTGGATTTAGGATTGAGTCTGATTTTACTCAATTAAAGATTAAATGTTTTTTTTCTTTTACTTAATTGGTTTAAATGGCTTAGAAGAGAGTCTAAATTGAAAGATTATGTGATTTAATGAGTTTTAAATTGATATTTTTTTGATTTCATAAAATAGATAAATTTCACTTTGAATTATAACTTATTTAAATGTCATAAGCATTTTGTATTTTTAATAAAATTTTGTGATTTTTTAGGGTTTTAAAGAAATGATAGAAATGCATTATTAATATATTTTAACTAGAGAATTTGAGTCACAAATACATTGAAATGAATTACAAATGAAAATAAAATGGCACCTATAAGTTAAAATTGATGTGTATAGGAGTAATTTGACCTATATTGAGGAACCAGTCATGCTAAAATGTTAAGAAACAAGCAAATCACTTAGAAAAAAAAAAAAATAAATGGAGGCATAGAGCAAAAAGAAGGTTCCATGAGAATAAGAACATTATATGAGACAAAAATATTCTCATTAATTTGACTAATTATTAAGAAAGTGAATTTTGAGAATGAATTTTCAATAAAAAAGGAAGAATAATTTTGTGAATAATAATATTATAAACGAAGAAGAGCAAGAAAACTTCCCTGAACAGCACATGCAGCGCACAAGACGAAGAACACTGGCGGCTAGGGCAAAAGCCCTAGCCCTCCCCCGGGAGCGGAAGCGAGAGAGAAAACATTTTAACTTAAGTAACTAATTAATTGGATTAAATGACTTGAAAGAGAGTCTAAATTGAATGTTTATGTGATTTAATGAGTTTTAAATTGATATTTTTAATTTTATAAAATAGATAAATTTCACTTTGAAAATATAACTTATTTAAATGTCATAAGCATTTTGTATTTTTAATAAATTTTTGTGATTTTTTTGGGTTTTAAAGAAATGATAGAAATGCATACTTAATTTTGAGAATGAATTTTCAATAAAATGGAAAAATAATTTTGTGAATAATAATATTAGAAAATATTATATAATGTTTGTTTAACAAAACTAATTATTCTATGACTTTTTTATTGCTTCTTGAAGCAACTTTTTAACATAAAGATTAAAATTTTTATACTAAAAAGTTGCTTCAAGAAACATTAAAAAAGCCATCCCAAACGAAACCTTATATCACCGAAAAAGATGAAGTTCTTGGTTTTTCTTTCATTAGTTCATGATCCATCAATCCATCGCTTGCAAGAAGCCCATGCCGACGTTGGTGGTGCTTTCGTCGGAGTCCGGCGATGCATGGACCAATACGAAATTAGTGTTAATTTCATATCTTGATGAAGTTGTAATAAAAATATTTTAAGTGCAAAACTAAAACCTTTATACGGTCTTATTTTATTTCTTGTAATCAACAAAACATTTTGAAATTGAAATTTCATTGTCATTTTATCTATAAAAATAACATCAATATTATTTTTAGAGGATTTTTTTTAACTTGAATTAATTTTAATTTCTAAGAGCATCTACATTGAACCAAATAGATTTATCAAATTTCATGAATTTCTTTAAAACATGTTTCTAAATGTCAAATAACTAAGGGTTTGTTTTAGACAGCTTTCTCCCTATTTTGAATTTTCAAATAACTACGATTTAATTTGGGTATTACTTTTTTGTCATTTCTTTTATTTCTATTGTTATTTCTTGATGCTTCTTAAAGCAATTTTTTAATACAAAAATTAAAATTTTTATTGCAAAACTACTTTTAAAATTAACAAAAAAATCATTGCAAATAAAGCCTTAATAAGCCTAACATTAATATTAATTAATCTAAATTGACTTAATCCTTATCACATACAATTTTCTTTATTGTTTCTTCCTAAGAGTTAAAATTTCGCCTTTTAAATATAATTCCAAACAATTTGGTGAACTAAATCATTTTCATAATTTTAATTTTGCATAAAAAAAATTTAGCTCAAAGCACATGATTCCATCACAAACAAACAAGCAGGAACTAGCAAAACCATTCGGAAAATATATTGCAGAAATTAAAATAAATTATAATATTATATTTGGCCGATTACATTGTCTTTATACGAATAGCTGCAGTGCAAGAAAATAATTAGCAATAAAGTCGAAAGTGATAGATAAAAATAATAAAATAAAGGCAGCAGAACTATCAAAATTGAATGAAAAATAATTAAATTATAGCAATAAAAATAATATATATTGAAGAAAAATTACTTAGATTTTAATGTTCGGAAAATGAAACGCAAGGATTTTTTTTATTTTAATAAATGCACCTTTTTTGTTTTAAAATAACTCTACTTTTTTTTCATCTGGGCTCAGTACCAACTTTCACGATTTCTATTTTTTTCTTAATTTTTTTTATTATAACATAAATTGTAAAATAAAAAAAATACTTACAATAGAGTATCTGCCATTCGGGAAACTATTGGTGACCGTCCGGAGCCAAATCAAAATGCGTCACATCACTCAATACACAATAAAAAAGTGCATGCCGCATCCTGATTCGCCTCCAAATAGTGTCTGATGACCGCACATAATAATTTTTCCTGATGTTCATATTATTTTTACATATTACCTACAATTGATTTCTACAAAACTTCGTATTTTGTCGACATCAATTACATAAACTTCTTACAAAATAGAGAAGTAATCTAATACCTTACCAAGGAAACAAACAAACTTATCCATAGGGCCCCCACTATCTATCCACCCATAAACCACCCAACAAATTATAGGCGGAGGGAAGGGGGGCACGTGCCCCCTAAAAAAAAAAAAAAAAATCTAGAGATAAAATCAAATAACTTCAAAAATTAAATTGGATACCATATAAACTTCAATTTCAGCAAACTTACAATCGAACTGAACGTCTCAAAAATGCGAACCCAACAGCACCACATTCCACTCAATCCGAACCAAAATGACTCCAAATCAAAGACTCAAAGCATATTTGAAAGGTTTAAACCATAATTTGGATTACCAAATGGTTTTCAAACATGACATACTTATAGTCGAATTGAGCGGCTAGACGAGACAAATCCAACGAGCCTAAGATCGCCGAATTCTAATATATCTAAGACATTTAAATGTCCAATAAAGAGTACACAAAAAAGAGATTTAAAATCAACCATCCATTCAAATCACTACCAATTTAATTTTCTATTCATTTATATTTTTTTTTTCTTGATTGATATTAACTTAATCCTCTATTGATTCGATCTTCAAGAGATTTTATAATTTGTTTTTGTTCGATGAAATTTTTAATATCACGTATTTAGTTAATATATTGAACTCATTCTAACAGTAATCAAGTGATTTGATGATTGGAAGTTATTTTGTGAAGGAAAAAATAAACTAATTTACTATCAAAGTTTTATCATTTTAAAAACTGACTATTTCGATCTCAAGTCCGGATGTAAAAAAATTAAAGGAAAATTAAAAATAATAATAATTTAGACCCCCCCCCTAAATACATT